GAGAAACCCTACCTCTTGGAGCGTGAGATAAACGATAGAAGCTTCTAAGCACCTCCTTAGCCCCAAAACCTTTAATCTCCCAAATCTACCCTTTTAGATCTTTTGTGAAATCTCTTGTTCTTGGTACGTATGCATAGCCCTCACCGCGTAGACCAACTTTAATTCTTGGTTGAAGCAATTCCAACCAACGGAGCTTCTTGGATCGAAGGAGAAAGCTTGAAATTTCTATTTTTCTCTTTTCTCTCTCTTCTCCAACGTGTGGTGTGCTAAACAAGGGTGAGAATATCTGATTTTTCAGATATTTAGCCCTATTTATACTTTTTAATTGCGCGGTCCACATTGTCCCGCTCGTTTATCACTTTCGGGTCCATTTTTAACCCGAAACAACTTAATTAAATTTCGATTTTAGTTCAAATTAATTTTATTTGAACTTTTATTCAATTATAAAAAAATTTTATAATTTTTATTTTTTGGGATGTTTAAAAGTTCATTCATCACCCAATTATCTCGAAAAACGTATAAAATTTGACTATTTCAGAATTCGACAAAATTTGACGTGGTAACTCAATTTCGCAATACGAATCTAATGGTGAAGTCTGTTGTTTCGTCCGAGCTCTATAGAAATATGTACTTTAATCCCGCATAATAGTGACAAATTACTCTTTTGCCCTTTGTCGGAAAAAGTTTAAATTTTCCAGGGTTTCACATTCTCCCCCCTTCAAAGAATTTCGTCCCCGAAATTCATACATACATACACATTCAATCACATGCATATATAACAGTCATATAATACTAAATGACTATAGTAATGTACCTCCATCCTCGAATAAGAAAGGATAACTGGTACGGATAGTGTCCTCGCACTCCCATGTTGCCTCCTCCGCTCCTCGATGCTACCTTAGCACCTTCACTAGCCTCACGATCTTGTCTCGCAAAACTTGATCCCGACTATCCATGATGCGCACCGGTCCCTCCTCAAAGGTCCCATCAGCATCAACCACAAGTTCTCCCCAATTCACCACATAAGTTGGATTCGGGGTGTACTTTCGGAGCATAGAGACATGGAATACCGCATGAACACCCGATAGATTTGACAGTAACGTCAACCGGTAAGCAACTGTACTCATCCTCTCGAGTACCTTAAAGGGCCCGATGTACCTCGGTGACAGCTTTCCCCACTTGCCAAACCTGACCACTCCTCTTTTAGGCATCACCTTCAAGAAGACATGATCTCCTACCTCAAACTCCAGAGGTTGCCACCGTTTGTCGGCGTAACTCTTGTATCGGCTTTGAGCCGTAAGAAGACGCTTCCATATAAGGTCCACCTTCTCTAAGGTGTCTCTTATCAAATTCGGACCCGTATAGGGTCTCTCTCCCACCTCCGTCCAACATGTCGAAGATCGACAAGGCCTCCCATATAATGCCCCATAGGGTGCCATCTGTATGTTTACCTAGTAACTATTGTTGTAGGCGAACTCTACCAAGGGTAAGTGATCTTCCCAACTACCCCTGAGATCTAGGATGCATGCCCGTAGCCTATCCTCTAACTCTATATAGTCCTCTCAGACTAAACGTCCGTCTAGGGATGAAAAGCAATGCTCATCATCAACTGTATCCCCATAGCTCGCTGGAAACTCTCCCAAAAATGAGCCGTGAACTTGGGATCCCGATCCGATACTATAGATACGGGCAACCCATGTAATCGGACAATCTCCCATATATACAACTTGCAGAATTCCTCCAGTGTGAAGGTCATCCGCACAGCCAAAAAATGTGCCGACTTCGTAAGCTGGTCTATTATCACCAACACCGCGTCATATTCCCGCGATGTCTGTGGAAAGTGATTCACAAAAATTCATGGTGATATGTTCCCACTTCCACTCAGCTACCTCCAAAGGCTAGAGTAATCTCGTTGGTCTCTGGTGTTCAGCCTTGACCTACTGACACGTGAGACATCGTCTGACAAAGTCTCCAACGTCTCTCTTCATTCCATTCTAATAATACTGGCGAAGTATGTGCAGAAAGGAAAAATTCAAGTCGGGGCCCTCAAGCAATAATACGGGATCTTGAAAAAAGTTTTGCACTATAAGTTGATTCTCCAGGGTGCGGAGAAGACCCCAAATGAAGAGAAACTCACCTTGATGATATGGGACTTCATGAAGGAGTTCGCCTAGGCTAGCAAATCGAAGGCAAATCTCCCATTCGCCAATTTGGTCACGAGGTTGTGCTATCACTCTAAGGTAAAGACCTACGCCTCCGATGTGTTGCTACCCCTGGAGTTTGGAGCTACTAGGAAGTCCAATCACAGTAAGAGAACGACGATGAGCAGAGGGGAAAAGGCAAGGGCACCTAGAGCTAAGCCATCCACTGCCAGGCCATCCACCACTACCCCACCTTGCACCGTTGCTCAACACTTCGACGCTATGGAGTGTAGGATTGATGACATAGGCAGGACTATGCATCGGCTATCCTTGATGATGACAAGAATATATGAGCACACCTTCCAGGGAGAGTCGATCCCCAATGTGCCTCCGACCTACTACTGGACCCTCTACCTCTGCCCCTATGGCTTCTACTATTGTTAAGGTGGAGGGCTCCGATGATGACGACTCCGATGATACATAAGGCAGTGAGTGTGAGAGTGATAAGGAGGGGACTGGAGATAAGGATGATGAGTAGAGTGACCTTTTGTTTTATTTATTTTTTGTAGTTACACAGATAAGAGTAGAGTAGATGAAAAAATAAAAGAGTTTATTCAGTATTTTAGGCCGTTTTGCTTTTGGCCTCTACTCCTTGTACTTAACTCTTTGCCACATTTGCCTGGTCTCTTCTACTCTTTGCATTATTCCATCACTTCTTCACACCAAGTAATATATTTATCTTTATAACTTGAACAAGAATCTTAGATGCGTGATGATTAACCATTAAAATTGTTATTTTATTATATTTAATGATTGATTAATGACATATTATTTGTGATTAAATGTGTTAAATTCCTTGATTTTTTAGTTTGTTACTTTTTCTAGTTGTTTGGTTTATTTTGTAGGTAAATTGGTTGATTTAAAGTAATAATAGATAAAACAAGTGAAACAATCACTAGAGCAAGAATCATAGCTGATAAAGATTCAAGAGTTAAGATTGAGATTGAAAAACTTGAAGATAAATCAGCAATTTAATCCTTATAAAAGTCCAAGTGAGAAGAAAACTCATTTAAAGTTAGATTAGGAAAGTTTTCTAGAAGATAAGAATTTGACATATTTTCGGTATATTAGTCATATCTTTTGATTCTGATATCCGATTAACTTGATTTTTGTGGGGTTGGAAAGAAGACTCCAAGGGCTACAAAAGTGTATATCATGTAAAGTTCGTGAATCAGCCTCTAAATAAGAGAAATTCAAGGTCAAAATCTGAGCAGATTTTGTACCCGCGCTCCAAAGATTTTATGCATGCGATTTGACTTTACAAGACTTCTTTTTGGAAAAGAATTCCTTCCAACTTGTACTTAGGATTTATTTTATTATGAATAAGGGCTCTCACCTATTGAGAGAGAGAATTAGAATTAGGATTAGGATTATTATTTTCTTCCCATCTTTTCTTTTCTAGTTTTTGTTCTAAGTTTTATGGCTTGCTAAAAGCTCAACTAAAGCTAACAAAGATACTTTCAATGAAGCATGGTACTTATTATTGATTCAATGTTCTTTTTAATGCTTGATTTATTCTTTTAATTTAATTCTTATCTTTTAGTAAAGTTTTTACTCTGTAAAAATTCTTGAGTCATTGTGCCATGTACATTGTTTGATTGAATTTTCCTGCGAGTCAAATAACTGGTTATTTTATACTTGAATTAATTAATTAGAATTTCTCATAAGATAGTTGATTTATTATTTACAATAAAATAAGGTTTACCTGTTAGAAAGCTTGATTTATCATAAACTAAGGCACGGTGAATGCTTGTGATCTACAAGTAAATTTATATTTATTCAGATAATTTATTAATTATAACTTTTGATGTTTCCATATTATCGCTGCTAGATATTCCAATTGAGATCATTTCTCAGTTAATTCTCAATTGAGTTCGAAAACTGGATTATTAATGATTACTATGTAGATTTGAAAGGGTATTCCTGATGCTTTAGTATTTTTAATTATTGTTTTAAAACCAAATTTTAAAATATCTACAATAATTTCTTCAAAACAATTTTCTTTTATTTTTCTTTGTGTTCTAAGTTTTTCACAATTCCCTGTGGTTCGACCTCGGTCTTCCGAGAAATATATTACTTCGTTCAACTTGCGCTTGGGTTTACAATATTAAAGTTGAAACATGTGACCTTAACCTTTAATTTTGTTCATCAATATTAAACCAATGATAATCTTGCATATGTTTTTCCCATGACAAGAACTTGTTAGGTTCAATGTACAGAACTACTCACTCGTGTTTTTCTATCAAACATGTATAAAACTTTAACTAACAAGAAGATGATTAATTAAATAAAGTGTTTGTTATCATCAAAATTTTGTTTAACCAAACATAGGGTCAACACAAGTTTCTTGTTCAAGACATCCCTATTTTTCATGCAATGTTTGCTATGATGACCATGCTCTCCACAAGTATAACACACATCATGATTAGCATGGGTTTGGTAAACAACCTTGTTCTTTGAATGCCTTCCCTTGCTTCTAATAGCATTTTTTAGTGCTTATGCCTACTTGTGGGGGTGATGGGTTGGTGAAACCCTTCACAAACACAATCTTGGAAGAAGTGTGGGTGCATCCATTTGTATAGCCTAAACCATGCTTATCACAAACACTCTTACCCATAGTCAACATTCTATCAAATTTGTCACTAATTTGGGAAATTCTATTACATATTTCATTTGGTTCATGAAGATGTTTATCAAGTTTGGTAGACTTTATCTCAAGATTCTTCTTAGACTTGACAAGCTCATGAAACTATCTCTCAAGAAACCTTACTCGATCAAGGAGAGACTAATTCTCATCTGCTAGGCCACAAAAATTAGGGCCTTGGACTTCACTAAGTCCAGATGAAGGGCTCTTGTCTCCTCCTCAATTGAGTTTACTCGACCACTCAAGGAGAGCACCTTTTCTTGTTGCTTTTGGTATTGCAAATACAATTGATCATACACATCTTGAATATCCTCATAGCACTCTTCATCCTCCACATATGTGGGGATTTCATTTTCCAAGTCTTCTACCTTCGTGGTAAAACTTGTTTCAACTCCACTTGTGGAAGTTTCTCTAGGGGGAAAGAAGAGTGGAACCTACAAATTCGCTTCATCATCTTGCAAAGAAGAGACATAACCCGAGGTAGACTCACTTTCACTATCACTTCACTTGACTTTCATAACCTTCCTCTTTTCATTGGGCAAATCTCTATTTTCCTATTTGGGCATTCCGATGCAGTATATCTAAAACCTTAACATTCAAAGCATTGAAACCCTTGCCCCTTCTCTCATCTTCGTTTTGAGAGTTTTTCCCCCTTATTGACTTCCGTCCTTAGGAGGAAGTCTACTAGGCTTTCTTTTCGACCTTGAGGACTCAACATTACTAGTCTTTAAATATTTTTTGAACTTCTTAGCAATCAAGGCTATGTCCTCCTCTCCTAATTGGGGTGTTCTGATTTACCTCCTTCTTGATTTGTAGAGCTTAAGACAATACCATTAGTTTGCTTTAAGGATGGATGGTTCATCTCAAAGGTCAAGATAGGCCAACTTAGGTCTTCTACCAACATTAACTCCACGTTGACACTTATTTTCAAGGATGTGACCTTAGTATGAAACCTCGTAGGTAGAGATCTCAAAATTTTTCACTTGATGACCGCATCATCAACCTTGATACCTAATGCAAATGATGAATTTACAATATCACACAATTTAGCATAAAATTCACTAAATGTTTCATCATCTTGCATCCTCAAAGTCTCGAACTAAGAGGTGTACCTTTGGAGTCGAAACATCTTCACCATGGAAGTCCCATCTTGGGAAACAACCAAGATGTCCCAAATTTCTTTGGAGATCTCATAATTTGCAATTATTCAAAACTCGTTTGGTGTTACAACATTGAATATTGCATTCAAGCCTTTCGAGTTCCACCCTGTTGTTTTGATCTCAGTCTTTAACCAAGTTGTTGGGAATTTCAATTCAACCACTGTTTCATCGCCTTTGACTCATGTGGTGGGGGCGGGAGGGGAGGGCTCCAACCCTCATGCACGCTTAACTATACTCTCTAATCAATTTATGTGAGCTTTCTAATATGCAAAGTTAGAACCATGAAAGAGAGGCGGTTATTCAATTGATGCTCCTTCCTTTTGAGACTCCATTCAAAACTAACTTATAGTAATGATAGATCTCTTAAAGGTAAACAACTAGGCAAGTAAGAAAATAAGAAATGCCTTTAGTCTCTATGGACTCAGGGCAACCGCACTCTAATACTAATTTTTATTTTTGGAGGGGGAACCTGATGTGGATCCTCCCTCATGATTTTATACGTGATGACCAAGACACTTAACCTAGAGAGAGTGAATAGATTTTTCAATTTTAGCCCAAATCAATTACAAATTAAAACCTATGTGTACCTCAATTACCTCTTCTCAATCGTATGTCGAAATTAAAGAAGACAACCCCTTTCAAATATCACCAACTCAATCAACCATGATGACTGATTTTAATTAATATGCAATTAATTCTCTCTCAGTCAATCTCACGGCAACCTCGAATTCCACAAACCCAATTTGCACCACTATAGATGATATGATATCAAGCAATGAAAATATCAAATACACAGTGCACATGTGTGCTCAGAATTACAAGTGTGTAATTTCAGTAATATGTTCCAAGACCAATCATATAGATGATGTTTTTGGGTTGTACTAGGAGCATTCATTACTTAATTAAATAAAAGGACAAGTTTATTTATTATGTTTCTACTTTATTTGGTTTTAACATGCATGATAAATTCCATAGAGTATAAGTCAAGAAGATAGTTTCTCAAAGTGTTGAGAAGAAGAGACTTATACTTCTTAGTATTTACCTCTTAAATGTTCCTAGTCATAGGATTACTATGTGGGCAATATGTAATCTAGCTAGACTAGCATACACTATGTTTTCTCATATTTGATATGAGGTGACTCATATAAGTCACTAGTATGGAGAAACTAAAGTAGGTGGAGACTCGAGCCTACAGAGGTTTGTTTGGGATTGCTATCTTTGATTTGACCTCTCTTTTTAGACAAGGGATGTAACAAAAAATTGTGTCTAAACTTACACAAAAATAATATCAAATTACAACCACTAATTTGTTTGACTTGGATTACAAGAAATTGGTGTTGACTCTCTTCGACATGTCTCTCATGTATATAGTCCTCTGATTCTAAAGAGAGAAATCTCAATGTTTTGACTTTGATCCCTAACTTTAGGATACTAAGTTAGTGTTATATTTGCTATCTTACGTATTTGTAGATGGCAAATAAAGGAAGAGGACATTGGAAAGGTCGAGGGGGTGGACAGAAACAACCAACCGCCACTGGCCTTTGATTAATAAGCCTTCATGGAGGTTATAGACACTATGGCTACCACCTTTATGCAATTCATTGCTATCATGGGTCAAGGAGGCTCAAGTAACCTCTAGAGATTCAAGGCACGCAAACTACCAAATGGAAGGTTATGCCTAAGAAATGAGAGATCAGGTCCGGGAAACGGGAAAAAGTTGTCGCTGAGTTTTATCGAGTCTTTCGAGGTACTCGAGAGGGTTGGTAAAATCACTTATTAGTTGGTGTTATTGCCAAATTTATCAGGTGTTCACGCATTGTTGCATGTCTCCATACTCCGAAAGTACACTCCAGATCCTACACATGTGGTGGATTGTATATGAAATGGGTAGTATGATTAGAGATGAAATCTATTGTTTAATATACTCATGTAACTATAGTACGGGAAATGGTGTAAGAATGTATAGAACCAATTTTGCATGATTGGGTTTTGTTGAAATTAATTGTTTATAATTTTTTGGGATATATGATAAATGAGTCATGCTATGTGTTTACTTAATTTGTGCCTTCTAGGTGTTTGACAAAATTCCTTGAATGATTACATATGTTATTTGGATGAAAATTATATAACATGCTTTGGTGATGTTATGGATCGTGATTATATACTTATGATATAATTGACAATTGATGAAATTGGGAATGTTAATAACCATTGAAATTGATCATAATGTGCTCATGATGATTTACCCTAAAAAATGCATAATTGAATCAGGGTTTAAGGTTAACTGTGTGAATAAACTAGGTTAAAGTGATTAATTTATAAAGTATTAGAGTTAATGCGTAGTTTGTACATTTTGCAGGGTTTCAAGGATAAAAATGGAAATCTAAGGGGACCAAAGTGCAAAGGCTAAATGAGGAAAGGGAGGAAAGCATAAATCATAAGTCAACAAAGGAAGGCTGGCCAAGCAAGGAAACAAGAGAAATGCTACCATCCGAACGGTGGTGATGGCATACAAATGGTGCTTGACTTGATCCGAAATGTGTACACCCAAGTGTAGGCAGTCAAGTTGTAGTAATAGTCTGATTAAGTCTGGAGTCGAATCCACAAGAAACTATGATTGGTGTTTTGAAGTAAGCAAGAATACAGATCAAGTAACTGAAAATTTTAAGAGTTTGGAGTAGTGGAGTTTCTTAAATAGAATAGAAGATTCTCTTCAAGAATTTTCTAGACAAAATATAAGATTCTCAAAATGTAACAGCCACCCTTTAGCTGGAGGATCAGGACATGTAATAGACTATCTAGTGTGTTATGTTTGTGCTTTATAACTCAATTAACTCTCATGTCAACAGCAAGTTAATCAGAAGATAAAGATGGACTGTGAGAATTAAACACATGATTTCGATGCCTTTCTAGAAACTTACAAGAACTGTCTGTGCCGAGACTTAACCCGTCTACAAACAAGCAAATGTTTCTACAAGGCATCCAACCATGGCATTAATGATCCATTCTTTAAATAAAGTACAATAATGGTGGGGATTTGAAAGGTTGTCATGAATAGCTAGCCGGGGTGCTTGCCTTGAACCACTGGGTCTTTCCATGCAGGAGTCATCCGTATCATAGAGGAAGCCCTTGGTTATACAAAGTACCACAACTTTGCTAGATGCATTCAATCATCCAATGAACAGGTGGAATATAAAGCATTAAAGCATGAAGGATTTGCACAAACATAGCTTTTGGATAATCTTTACATATTCATCACCTCTTACTAAAGAGTGGATGAGGAACTACTCACCTTTCATGGCCTTGGCAAAGCTAGAAAGTGAATGCTACTCATCCCTCTAAGTAGAGGAGCTATTAAGTGAAGCAAACTAAACAAAGAGCTTATCCTCAATGAAGAATAAGTGAATCACTTTTCACCCTTCACGACTTTGGTAAAACTCTAGAAAAGTGGAAGAGTTTCACTCTTCTAAGAAGGAAGGATGCTCAAGCAATGGAAATGAAATACATGAACAATAAAAATAGAAGAAAGATAGTTACTTTTGGAGGGTTTCCACCATTACCAAAAGATGAACTATATCTCTTGATACTTTATAAATAAAAGCAAGTACAACTACAAGGGGAGTCTAAGTCTCGATCATGGTTGTCACAACATGAATGTACAGACTTAGCATAAGTAAATAAAAGACTTCTACTACAAGGGGAGTCTAAGCCTCCATCATGGTTGATATAAATGCAAAATGAAAACATAAACATGAAATATTCAAGAACTAGATTACTAAACACTCTCTTACTTTACAAGAAAAAGGATTGCTCCCCCTTTACTCTACAAGAGGAAGAATGTCATTTAAGCTCCCAACATAGGAGTTATTATAGGCAAGGAAGGGCAGAGGGGGGATGAAGGAATAGTGTTTGCAGCCCAAGTCCAAGTGAAAAGCTGATAACTCTGCAGCCAGTCAATAGGGGACGTTCGAATGTGATCTAGCGTTTGAACGTTGAGTCTGTCTTTTCTTTAAGGATGTTTGAATGTGAGATGTCATTCAAACATTGTCTATGTCTTTGCTTTGAGGGCGTTTGAACGTCAAATGGGGTTCTGATTCCTTCCACGCAAGTGGCCTGTGGTCTCTGTGATGGTCACTTCCATACGTCTTAAACAACTTTGACCTTATACTCAGCAAATTGGTCCTCAGTCACTCAAGAGAATACTTGAACGTAGAATGGCGTTCGAACGTTGTACTCAAGTACTTCTATTCTGTGGTTCTTCTTTCTTCACTACA